GACCTAACCCAACCTAACCTACACATGGCCACCCACCAGCCTGACCCTATAGCTGCTGCTCCTATGGTGGTACAGTACAATGGGCCGTCTACCTAACCCGGAGCCTTGGGAAGAGCTGATTGAACTGTAAGCAGAGATTTGGGTGTTATAGTAGCCAGGTGGTGGTGTTATAGTAGCCAGGTGGTGGTGTTATAGTAGCCAGGTGGTGGTGTTATAGTAGCCAGGTGGTGTTATAGTAGCCAGGTGGTGGTGTATAGTAGCCAGGTGGTGGTGTTATAGTAGCCAGGTGTGGTGTTATAGTAGCCAGGTGGTGGTGTTATAGTAGCCAGGTGGTGGTGTTATAGTAGCCGGGTGGTGGTGTTATAGTAGCTAGCTGGTGGTGTTATAGTAGCCAGGTGGTGGTGTTATAGCCAGGTGGTGTTATAGTAGCCAGGTGGTGGTGTTATAGTAGCCAGGTGGTGGTGTTATAGTAGCCAGGTGGTGGTGTTATAGTAGTCAGGTGGTGGTGTGTTTTAGTAGCCAGCTGGTGGTGTTATAGTAGCCAGCTGGTGGTGTTATAGTAGCCAGGTGGTGGTGTTATAGTAGCCAGGTGGTGGTGTTATAGTAGCCAGGTGGTGGTGTTATAGTAGCCAGGTGGTGGTGTTATAGTAGCCAGGTGGTGGTGTTATAGTAGCCAGGTGGTGGTGGTGTTATAGTAGCCAGGTGGTGGTGTTATAGTAGCCAGGTGGTGGTGTTATAGTAGCCAGGTGGTGGTGTTATAGTAGCCAGGTGGTGGTGTTATAGTAGCCAGGTGGTGGTAGTATAGCATAGCTGGTGGTGTTATAGTAGCCAGCTGGTGGTGTTATAGTAGCCAGGTGGTGGTGTTATAGTAGCCAGGTGGTGGTGTTATAGTAGCCAGGTGGTGGTGTTATAGTAGCCAGGTGGTGGTGTTATAGTAGCCAGGTGGTGGTGTTATAGTAGCCAGCTGGTGGTGTTATAGTAGCCAGCTGTGGTGTTATAGTAGCCAGGTGGTGGTGTTATAGTAGCCAGGTGGTGGTGTTATAGTGAGCCAGGTGGTGGTGTTATAGTAGCCAGGTGGTGGTGTTATAGTAGCCAGGTGGTGGTGTTATAGTAGCCAGGTGGTGGTGTTATAGTAGCCAGGTGGTGGTGTTATAGCAGCCAGGTGGTGGTGTTATAGTAGCCAGGTGGTGGTGTTATAGTAGCTAGCTGGTGGTGTTATAGTAGCCAGCTGGTGGTGTTATAGTAGCCAGGTGGTGGTGTTATAGTAGCCAGGTGGTGGTGTTATAGTAGCCAGGTGGTGGTGTTATAGCAGCCAGGTGGTGGTGTTATAGTAGCCAGGTGGTGGTGTTATAGTAGCCAGCTGGTGGTGTTATAGTAGCCAGGTGGTGGTGTTATAGTAGCCAGGTGGTGGTGTTATAGTAGCCAGGTGGTGGTGTTATAGTAGCCAGGTGGTGGTGTTATAGTAGCCAGGTGGTGGTGTTATAGTAGCCAGGTGGTGGTGTTATAGTAGCCAGGTGGTGGTGTTATAGTAGCCAGGTGGTGGGTTATAGTAGCCAGGTGGTGGTGTTATAGTAGCCAGCTGGTGGTGTTATAGTAGCCAGCTGGTGGTGTTATAGTAGCCAGGTGGTGGTGGTGTATGTAGCCAGGTGGTGGTGTTATAGCCAGGTGGTGGTGTTATGGCCAGCTGGTGGTGTTATAGTAGCCAGCTGGTGGTGTTATAGTAGCCAGGTGGTGGTGTTATAGTAGCCAGGTGGTGGTGTTATAGTAGCCAGGTGGTGGTTTTATAGTAGCCAGCTGGTGGTGTTATAGTAGCCAGGTGGTGGTGTTATAGTAGCCAGGTGGTGGTGTTATAGTAGCCAGGTGGTGGTGTTATAGTAGCCAGGTGGTGGTGTTATAGTAGCCAGGTGGTGGTGTTATAGTAGCCAGGTGGTTGTGTTATAGTAGCCAGGTGGTGGTGTTATAGTAGCCAGGTGGTGGTGTTATAGTAGCCAGGTGGTGGTGTTATAGTAGCCAGGTGGTGGTGTTATAGTAGCCAGGTGGTGGTGTTATAGTAGCCAGGTGGTGGTGTTATAGTAGCCAGGTGGTGGTGTTATAGTAGCCAGGTGGTGGTGTTATAGTAGCCAGGTGGTGGTGTTAGTAGTTCTCCTGGTGGTAAGAGTAGCTAGCTGGTGGTGTGTTATAGGCCAGGTGGTGGTGTTATAGCTGTGGTGTGTTTATAGTAGCCAGGTGGTGGTGTTATAGTAGCCAGGTGGTGTGTTGGTAGCAGCCAGGTGGTGGTAAGAGTAGTAGCCAGCTGGTGTTATAGCAGCCAGGTGGTGGTAAGAGTAGCCAGCTGGTGGTGTTATAGAAAAGGCTGGTGGTGTTGAGTGAGAAAGCCAGTGGTGGTGTTAGCAGCCAGGTGGTGGTGTTATAGTAGCCAGGTGGTGGTGTTATAGTAGCTAGCTGGTGGTGTTATAGTAGCCAGGTGGTGGTGTTATAGTAGTGAGCAAGGAGGAGGAGGATGAGGACACTCCCCCTCAGCGGCTCACAACAACACCTGAGACGCTGTCCTGATGAATATGTTATGGACGGCCACCACGCTTACACGTCTCCACCACTGTCTGCCACTACCACCGCTGTCTGCCACTACACCTTCACCACTGTCTGCCACTACATCTCCACCACTACTACTGCCACCACTACCACCACTGTCTGCCACTACACCTCCACCACTACTACTGCCACCACTACCACCACTGTCTGCCACTACACCTTCACCACTGTCTGCCACTACACCTTCACCACTGTCTGCCACTACACCTCCACCACTACTACTGCCACCACCACCACTGTCTGCCCTCCACCACACACCCACCACCACCCTGTCTGCCACACACCTTCACACACACCTCCCACCACTACTACTGCCACCACCTGTCTGCCACTACACCACCTGCCTACCCACTGTCTGCCACTACACCTTCACCACTGTCTGCCACTACACCTTCACCACTGTCTGCCACTACACCTCCACCAACTACTACTGCCACCACTACCACCACTGTCTGCCACTACACCTCCACCACTACTACTGCCTCCACACTACCACCACAAACACTGCTAACACTACACCTACCACAACTACCAGCACCACACTACCAATCACCACACTACCAACCACGCACCTACCACCACACCACCAACCACACTACCCAAGGGAGGTCTCCGAAGCTTACGACTTGACGAAAATTGTTGAAGAATCTCAGAGGACTTGAGACTCTCCTTGTAAGGTAATTCAAGATTCATCCTACGACCACACGACATTTTGGGAGCAACAGTTATCGTTGTTTTGAGGATTTCTTACGAGTTATTGATGTTTATTTGGATTTATGGCGAGTTATTGATGTTTTTGTTGGATTTAGGGCGAGTTATTGAAGTTTCGTTGGATTTATGGCGAGTTATTGATGTTTTTTGAGGATTTCTTACGAGTTATTGATGATTATTTGGATTTATGGTGAGTTATTGGTGTTTTTGTTGGATTTCTGGCGAGTTATTGATGTTTGAGAGTTTCTTACGAGTTATTGATGATTATTTGGTTATGGTGGTTATTGGTGTTTTGTTGGATTTATGGCGAGTTATTGATGTTCGTTGGATTTCTGGCGAGTTATTGATGTTTTTGTTGGATTTAGGGCGAGTTATTGATGTTTCGTTGGATTTATGGCAGAGTTATTGATGTTTTTGAGGATTTCTTACGAGTTATTGATGATTATTTTAGTTTATGGTGAGTTATTGGTGTTTTGTTGGTTATGGCGAATTTGTGATGTTTTTGAGGTTTTCTTACGAGTTATTGATGTTTTTGTTGGATTTAGGGCGAGTTATTGATGTTTCGTTGGATTTATGGCGAGTTATTGATGTTTTTTGAGGATTTCTTACGAGTTATTGATGATTATTTGGATTTATGGTGAGTTATTGGTGTTTTTGTTGGATTTATGGCGAGTTATTGATGTTTTTTGAAGATTTCTTACGAGTTATTAATGATTATTTGGATTTATGGTGAGTTAATGGTGTTTTTGTTGGATTTATGGCGAGTTATTGATGTTTCGTTGGATTTCTGGCGAGTTATTGATGATTATTTGAATTTATGGTGAGTTATTGATGTTTCGTTGGATTTATGGCGAGTTATTGATGTTTTTTGAGGATTTCTTACGAGTTATTGATGATTATTTGGATTTATGGTGAGTTATTGGTGTTTTTGTTGGATTTATGGCGAGTTATTGATGTTTCGTTGGATTTATGGCGAGTTATTGATGTTGTTGAGGATTTATTAGGAGTTATTAATGATTATTTGGATTTATGGCGAGTTATTGATGTTTATTTGGATTTATGGTGAGTTATTGATGTTTTTGTTGGATTTATGGCGAGTTGTTGATGTTTTTTGAAGAATTTTTACGAGTTATTGATGTTTATTTGGATTTATTACGAGTTATTGATATTTAGTTGGATTTACGGTGAGTTATGACCCATATTGACCCAACAGATTCCGGTACTGACACAACACATCCCGGTGCTGACCAAACACATCCCGGTACTGACCCAATACATCCCGGTACTGACCCAACACAACCCGGTACTGTTCCAACACATCCCGGTACTGACCCAACACAACCCGGTACTGACCCAACACAACCCGGTACTGACCCAACACATCCCGGTACTGACCTAACACAACCCGGTACTGACCCAACACAACCGGTACTGATCCAACACAACCCGGTACTGACCCAACACATCCCGGTACTGACCCAACACAACCCGGTACTGACCCAACACAACCGGTACTGACCCAACACAACCCGGTACTGACCCAACCCGGTACTGACCCAACACAACCGGTACTGATCCAACACAACCCGGTACTGACCCAACACAACCGGTACTGATCCCAACACAACCCGGTACTGACCCAACACAACCCGGTACTGACCCAATACAACCCGGTACTGACCCAACCCGGTACTGACCTCCGAGTTTGAGCTGAGCCGAGCCTTGAGCCGAGCCCTCCAAGTTTGACACAAGACACTGGTACATTCCCCGGTCGCCTCGCTGTACCTTCTCCACGACCACAGTTCGTTGACCCACCAGCCGGATACGACCCCCCACCTGTAGCGGCTCACCGTCCTGTAAAACACACGTTAGGTTAGGTTAGGTTAGGTTAGGTTATAGAGATTAATGACACTTTAATCATAGATACCAACGTAAGTATAAGTAGATATTATAAGTTGACATTTATAAGTATAGTACACAGATTACTACCATGGTGTAATTAAGAGCTTTAAGTACAGATAAATTTAGTACTGTAATGGTTGTAGTACAGGTTACAGTAATACATTGGTGGTGTTGCCTTAACATATACACATCATTACACTTTGATATGTAAATACAAAGGCCAATAAAAATCGTTCAACCATTTTTTTTAATGTGTTCATTGGAAATGATGACGTGCAAATAGATATGTGTTTTGTGTGTGTGTGTGTGTGTGTGTGTGTGTGTGTGTGTGTGTGTGTGTGTGTGTGTGTGTGTGTGTGTGTGTGTGTGTGTAAATAATACCAGCTTCGGTGGTGATAGTGAAGGATATAGTAATGAATTCTTTTTATGTAGGATGGTGAAGGATATATGGTAATGGTTCATGGTAGGATAGTGAAGGATGTATAGTAATGGTCTTATGGTGTAGGATGGTACAGGATACATTCTCCTACAACACCTACAATCCTACCCGTCCTTTTTGTTTACCTTGAGCCACGTGATGGTATCCTGCGGGAATCCTTCGGAGAGAGTTGAAGGTGGCCACCCCGCCCACGTCCACGTCTGCACCTGGGGGCTGATGTGGGCGGTGAGGGGCGCCCATACCTCCAGCGTGGTGTGGGTTCTCTCGGAGCCCACACTGCTCGACACCACACACACATACCTGTAACACAACACAACAACTGACCCCAACCACAGTGAGGACCAGGAGGAGGAGGACCAGGAGGAGAGACCAGGAGGAGGAGGACCAGGAGGAGGAGGACCGGAGGAGGACCAGGAGGAGGAGGACCAGGAGGAGAGACCAGGAGGAGGAGGACCAGGAGGAGGAGACCAGGAGGAGGAGGACCAGGAGGAGGAGGACCAGGAGGAGGAGGACCAGGGAGGAGGAGGACCAGGAGGAGGAGACCAGGAGGAGGAGGACCAGGAGGAGGAGGACCAGGAGGAGGAGGACCAGGAGGAGGAGGACCAGGAGGAGAGGACCAGGAGGAGGAGGACCAGGAGAGGACCAGGAGGAGGACCAGGAGGAGGAGAACCAGGAGGAGGGAGACCAGGAGGAGGAGGACCAGAGGAGGGAGACCAGGAGAGAGGACCAGGAGGAGACCAGGAGGGAGGGACCAGGAGGAGGAGACCAGGAGGAGGAGGACCAGGAGGGGAGGAGGACCAGGAGAGGAGGACCAGGAGGAGGAGACCAGGGAGGAGGAGGACCAGGAGGAGGGAGGACCAGGAGGAGGAGGACCAGGAGGAGGAGGACCAGGAGGAGGAGGACCAGGAGGAGGAGGACCAGGAGGAGGAGGACCAGGAGAGGAGGACCAGGAGGAGAGGAGGGACCAGAGGAGGGAGACCAGGAGGGAGAGAGCAGGGAGGACCAGGAGGAGGAGGACCAGGAGGAGGAGGACACCAGGAGGAGGAGACCAGGAGAGGAGGACGAGGAGGAGGACCAGAGGAAAGAGAGCAGGAGGAGGAGGACCAGGAGGGGGAGGAGGACCAGGAGAGAGACCAGGAGAGGACAGGGAGGAGGACCAGGAGGAGGAGGACCAGGAGGAGGAGGACCAGGAGGAGGAGACCAGGAGAGGGAGGACCAGGAGGAGGAGGGAGGACCAGGAGGAGGAGGACCAGGAGGAGGAGGACCAGGAGGAGGAGGACCAGGGAGGAGGGGAGGACCGAGCAGGAGACGCAGAGGAGGAGGACCAGGAGGAGGAGGACCAGGAGGAGGAGGACCAGGAGGAGGGAGACCAGGAGGAGGACCAGGAGGAGGAGGACCAGGAGGAGACCAGGAGGAGGAGACACCAGGAGGAGGAGGACCAGGAGGGAGGAGGACCAGGAGGAGACCAGGGAGGAGGAGACCAGGAGGAGGAGGACCAGGAGGAGGAGGACGGGGAGGAGGAGACCAGGGAGGAGGAGACCAGGAGAGGAGGGACCGGAGAGGAGGAGGACCAGGGAGGAGGGAGGACCACGAGGAGGAAAGAGGAGGAGGACCAGAGGAGAGGGACCAGGAGGAGGAGGACCAGGAGGAGGAGGACCAGGAGGGAGAGAGACCAGGAGGAGGGGCAGGGAGGAGGAGACGGGAGGAGGAGGACCAGAGGAGACAGGAGGAGGGAGAGGGAGGGAGACCAGGAGGAGGAGGACCAGAGAGGAGACCAGGAGGAGGAGACCAGGAGGGAGGGGGAGGACCAGGAGGAGGAGACCAGGAGGAGGAGAAGGGGGAGGAGGAGGACCAGGAGAGACCAGGAGGAGGAGACCAGGAGGAGGGACCAGGAGGAGGAGGACCAGGAGAGGGAGACCAGGAGGAGGGAGACCAGGGAGGAGGAGACCAGGAGGAGGAGGAACCAGGGAGGAGGAGACCAGGAGGGAGGAGGACCAGGGAGGGAGAGGACCAGGAGGGAGGAGGGACCAGGAGGAGGAGGACCAGGAGGAGGAGGACCAGGGAGGAGGAGGACCAGAGGAAAGAGACCAGGGAGGGAGGAGGACAGGAGGAGGGAGACCAGAGGAGGACCAGGAGGAGGAGGACCAGGAGGAGGAGGACCAGGGAGGAGGGAGGGACCAGAGGAGGAGACCAGGAGAAGAGATCAGGAGGAGGAGGACCAGGAGGAGGAGACCAGGAGGAGGAGGACCAGGAGGAGGGAGGACCAGGAGGAGGGAGACAGGAGGAGGAGGACAGGAGGAGGAGGACCAGAGGAGGAGACAGGAGGAGGAGACCAGGAGGAGGAGACAGAGGAGAACAGGAGAGGAGACCAGGAGGAGGGGAGGACCAGGGAGGGGGAGAGACGAGGAGGAGGACAGGAGGAGGAGACGGGAGAGGAGACCAGGAGGAGGGAGACCAGGAGGGAGGAGGACCAGGAGGAGGAGGACCAGGAGGAGGAGGACCAGGAGGAGGGAGGACCAGGGAGGAGGAGGACCAGGGAGGAGGAGGACCAGGAGGAGGAGACCAGGAGAGGAGGACCAGGAGGAGGAGGACCAGGAGGAGGAGACCAGGAGAGGAGGACCAGGAGGAGGGGACACGAGAGGAGGACCAGGGAGGAGGAGGACCAGAGAGAGACAGGAGGAGGAGACCAGGAGGAGGAGGACCAGGAGGAGGAGGACCAGGGAGGAGGAGGACCAGGAGGAGAGGACCAAGAGGAGGGACAGGAGGGAGGAGGACCAGGAGGAGGAGGACCAGGAGGAGGAGACCAGAGGGAGGAGGACCAGGAGGAGGAGGACCAGGAGGAGGAGGATCAGGAGGAGGAGGAACCAGGAGGAGGAGGACCAGGAGGAGGAGACCAGGAGGAGGGACCGGAGGAGAGGCACAGGAGGAGGAGACCAGGGAGGAGGGGAGGACCAGGAGGAGGAGGACCAGGAGAGAGGAGGACCAGGAGGAGACCAGAGAGGAGGACCAGGAGGAGGAGACCAGGAGGAGGGAGACAGGAGGAGAGAGGGGAGGAGGGAGACGAGGAGAGGAGGAGACAGGAGGAGGAGACCAGGAGGAGGAGGACCAGGAGGAGGGAGGAGGACCGGGAGGAGGAGACCGGGAGGAGGGACCAGGAGGAGGAGACCAGGAGGAGGAGACCGGGAGGAGGAGGACCAGGAGGAGGAGGACCAGGAGGAGGGCAGGAGGAGACCAGGAGGAGGGAGGACCAGGAGGAGGGAGGAGGGACCAGGAGGAGGAGACCAGGAGGGAGGAGACCAGGAGGAGGAGGACCAGGAGGAGGAGGACCAGGGGGAGAGGACCAGGAGGGAGGAGACCAGGAGGAGGAGGACCAGGAGGGAGGAGGACCAGAGGGAGGAGGAGGACCAGGAGGAGGAGGACCAGGAGGAGGAGGACCAGGAGGAGGAGGACCAGGAGGAGGTCAAGAAGAAGAAGAAACAACAGAATGAACGAACGAGAAGCACAACAAATAATGTACCAAATATGACTTCACACACACACACACACACACACACACACACACACACACACACACACACACACACACACATAAATACTACATTTAAAGTCATGTCTATAGAAATCCACTCTACAAAATAATATAAATCCCTCTACAAAAATACATAAACTTATCCATGGACAGCACCTGTATATCCACGACCCAATCCAGGAGTCTACAGACCCTAACGGATATTGCACTAAAAATTCAGTGTTATGTGTGTGGGGGCTGGTGGAAGGCTGTCTCAGGTAGGGGGGGGGGGATAGCTGACACATGTTTGGGCGACGAAAGGCAAGAAGAGTCTACCTCCTACACCTCCAAGATTGCCTCATTCACCCCTCCCTCCTTCCCTTCCTTAGTCACTGCCTCCCCTCCCTTAGTCACTTCTACCCTCCCTTAGTCACTGTACCTCCCCCCATCCCCCACCGTCACTCTACCTCCCCCCAATCCTCCACCGTCACTCTACACCCCACGTCACTCTCCCTCCGGTCACTCACCCGTCCTCCAGTAAAACACCTCCATCCAGCAGTAGAGAACTTGCTGTCATTCTCAAGTCCAAACAAAACAACGGTGTATTTCTGCATATAGTGACAGTTTGTATGTTAATGTTATGCCTTTATGGCTTTGGTCAACCCAGACATAACATTATGGCTTAGCGGGGAGAGGTGTGATGTCTGGTCCACCACCAGGCGTCCTAACATTGGTGGAGTACAAAGGTGAGGTTGGCACTACTGCCGGTCTCTGGCACCTAGTGAGTGAGAGGTTGGCACTACTAGCAGGTCTCTGGCACCTAGTGAGTGAAGGTTGGCACTACTAGCCGGTCTCTGGCACCTAGTGAGTGAGAGGTTGGAACTACTAGCCGGTCCCTGGCACCCAGTGAGTGAGGTTGGCACTACTAGCCGGTCTCTGGCACCTAGTGAGTGAGAGGTTGGCACTACTAGCAGGTCCTGGCACCTAGTGAGTGAGGGATTGGCACTACTAGCCGGTCTCTGGCACCTGGTGGTGAGGTTGGCACTACTGGGTCCTGGCCGAGTGAGTGAGGGATTGGCACTACTAGCCGGTCTCTGCACCTAGTGAGTGAGAGGTTGGAACTACTAGCCGGTCCCGGCACCTAGTGAGTGGGGTTGGCACTACAGCCGGTCCCGGCACCTAGTAGTGAGGATTGGCACTACTAACCAGTCCCTGGCACCTAGTAGTGAGGATTGGCACTACTAGCCAGGTCCCTGGCACCTAGTGAGTGAGAGGTTGGAACTACTAGCCGGTCTCCTGGCACCTAGTGAGTGAGGAGTTGGCACTACAGCAGGTCTGGCACCTAGTGGTGAGAGGTTGGCACTACTAGCAGGTCCCTGGCACCAGAGTGGTGAGAGGTTGGAACTACTAGCCGGTCTGGCACCTAGTGGTGGGGATTATTACTAGCCGGTCTCTGGCACCTAGTGAGTGAGAGGTTGGCACTACTAGCCGGTCTGCACCCTAGTGAATGGGAGGTTGGCATTACCAAGGTGGTCCCTGGCACCTAGTGAGTGAGAAGGTTGGAACTACTAGCCGGTCCCTGGCACCCAGTGAGTGAGAGGTTGGCACTACTAGCCGGTCCCTGGCACCTAGTGGGAGAGGTTGGCACTACTAGGTGGTCAATGGCACCTAGTGGTGAGAGGTTGGAACTACTAGCGGTCCCTGGCACTAGTGAGTGAGAGGTTGCTACTCGCCGGTCCCTGGCACCTAGTGGGTGAGAGGTTGGAACTACTAGCCGGTCTCTGGCACCTAGGCAGGAGAGGTTGGCACTACTAGCCGGTCCCTGGCACCTAGTGGATGGGAGGTTGGCACTACTAGGTGGTCCCTGGCACCTAGTGAGTGAGAGGTTGGAACTACTAGCCGGTCCCTGGCACCCTAGTGGTGAGAGGTTGGCACCACTAGCCGGTCCCTGGCACCTAGTGAGTGAGAGGTTGGCACTACTAGGTGGTCTCACCTAGTTAGGTGAGGGTTGGAACTACTAGCCGGTCCCTGGGCACCTAGTGAGTGAGGTTGGCACTACAGCCAGTCCCTGGCACCTAGTGAGTGAGGTTGGAACTACTAGCGGTCTCCTGGCACCTAGTGAGTGAGAGGTTGGCACTACTAGCCGGTCTCTGGCACCTAGTGAGTGAGAGGTTGGCACTACTAGCCGGTCCCTGGCACCTAGTGAGTGAGAGGTTGGCACTACTAGGTGGTCCCTGGCACCTAGTGAGTGAGAGGTTGGCACTACTAGCCGGTCTCTGGCACCTAGTGAGTGGAGGTTGGCACTACTAGCCGGTCCCTGGCACCTAGTGAGTGAGAGGTTGGCACTACTAGCCGGTCTCTGGCACCCTATGAGTGAGGGATTGGCACTACTAGCCGGTCTCTCTGGCACCTAGTGAGTGAGAGGTTGGCACTACTAGCCGGTCTCGCTGAGTGAGAGATTGGCACTACTAGCCGGTCTCTGGCACCTAGTGAGTGAGGATTCGCACTGGCGGTCTCTGGCACCTAGTGAGGAGAGGTTGGCACTACTGCAGGTCCCTGGCACCTAGTGAGTGAGGGATTGGCACTAGCCGGTCTCTGGCACCTAGTGGTGAGGATTGGCACTACTAGCCGGTCTCTGGCACCTAGTGAGGAGAGGTTGGCACTACTAGCAGGTCCCTGGCACCGAGTGAGTGAGGGATTGCACTACTAGCCGGTCTCTGGCACCTAGTGAGTGAGAGGTTGGAACTACTAGCCGGTCCCTGGCACCTAGTGAGTGAGGATTGGCACTACTAGCCGGTCGGCACCTAGTGAGTGAGGGATTGGCACTAATAGCCGGTCTCTGCAACCCTAGTGAGTGAGAGGTTGGCACTACTAGCAGGTCTCTGGCACCCTGTGAGTGAGAGGTTGGCACTACTAGCAGGTCCCTGGCACCGAGTGAGTGAGGGATTGGCACTACTAGCCGGTCTCTGGCACCTAGTGAGTGAGGTTTGAGACTACTAGCCGGTCCCTGGCACCTAGTGAGTGAGGGATTGGCACTACTAGCCGGTCCCTGGCACCTAGTGAGTGAGGGATTAGCACTACTAGCCGGTCTCTGGCACCTAGTGAGTGAGAGTTGGCACTACTAGCAGGTCTCTGGCACCTAGTGAGTGAGAGGTTGGCACTACTAGCAGGTCCCTGGCACCAGTGAGTGAGGATTGGCACTACTAGCCGGTCTCTGGCACCTAGTGAGTGAGAGGTTGGAACTACTAGCCGGTCCCTGGCACCTAGTGAGTGAGAGGTTGGCACTACTAGCCGGTCTCTGGCACCTAGTGGGTGAGAGGTTGAACTACTAGCCGGTCCCTGGCACCTAGTGAATGGGAGGTTGGCACTACTGCCGGTCCTGGCACCTGGTGAGAGGTTGGCACTACTAGCCGGTCCCTGGCACCTAGTGAATGGGAGGTTGGAACTACTAGCCGGTCCCTGGCACCTAGTGAATGGGAGGTTGGCACTACTAGCCGGTCCCTGGCACCTAGTGAATGTTGTAGTCCACGGCCAGAGGAGCCTCGCTCCCGGCCCAGAGAGCCTCGCCCCCAGCCACCAGAGAGCCTCGCCTCCCGGCCAGAGAGCCTCGCCTCCCGGCCACCAGGAGAGCCTCGCCTCCCGGCCACCAGAGTGTCTCGCCTCCCGGCCACCAGAGAGCCTCGCTCCCCGGCCACCAGAGAGTCTCGCTCCCTGTCACAGGTGCCGGACCCTTGATTCCTGTCGGTCCCTGGAGAAGTCCTGGACTTCAGACACATCCTGACCCCAGACCCTGGCCCCTCCACAGTCCCCACTCAATAAACAGGTCCCGGGTCTTAAACTGCCCTTAGCCCCCAAAAGACAGCTCCTGGTCCCCAGACAGACGGCCCTTGGCCCCCAAGGTCTACACACACACACACTGCAGTTGGTAAAAGTCAGTAATAATGTCACCTCCTCAGTCTTCAGATAATATCACACACACACTAAATTGTTTACTTAACGTCAGGTCACATCAGGTGCGACAGGGTTATGAAATTCCTACCTGCCAGCGTCTGCGGCGGTGACCTGTCGTATGAGGCACCCGCCCACCTGCTGGATGCGTCCGTCTTGCACCACGGCCACTTCCACCTTCCCGGAGATCCGGTGCCACCTGGCGGGTCACACACACCTTCTCAACATGTTTCCGACTTGCTGGCTAAAGTCCAGTCATGTCACTATTATCTCAACATTTTTCATTCAAGAAGCTTTATATAAAGATGACTACAAACACACATACTGCATATATATATATATATATATATATATATATATATATATATATATATATATATATATATATATATATATATATATATATATATATATATATATATATATATATATATATACACTGGTACAATATTTAATGATATCGTACAATGTTTGAGTAAAAAATATAGTTAACTGGCAGATTTTAGTTTATTCAAACACACAATTGGTGTAATAAGCAGAACAAAAATGTTGTTTCCGTCCCGCCCGTGTTGACGGGATGTGCAAATTTCAAAGGTGTCATCAATTTGATATTAAATTTGGGAAAGTGGAAACTGGCTGACACAGAGAGTGACAGATATGTGATACTGGAAATTAATGAATTAGTTCAAAACAACATGAACAATGGCGGTGAAATTATTAAAAATAATTATATTTGATGAAGCCATGTTGGACTACTGACCAGGTCTGCCACTAACTGTTGACTGTGTAGTGCTTGTGGGTGTGTACTGACTGTCTGGTGCTTGTGGGTATGTACTGACTGTGTAGTGCTTGTGGTTGTACTGACTGTCTGGTGCTTGTGGGTGTGTACTGACTGTCTGGTGCTTGTGGGTGTGTACTGACTGTCTGGTGCTTGTGGGTGTGTACTGACTGTCTGGTGCTTGTGGGTGTGTACTGACTGTGTAGTGCTTGTGGTGTGTACTGACTGTGGTGCTTGTGGGTGTGTACTGATTGTGTAGTGCTTGTGGGTGTGTACTGACTGTGTAGTGTGGGTGTGTACTGACTGTGTAGTGCCTGTGGGTGTGTACTGACTGTCTGGTGCTTGTGGGTCTGTACTGACTGTCTGGTGCTTGTGGGTGTGTACTGACTGTGTAGTGCTTGTGGGTGTGTACTGACTGTAGTGCTTGTGGGTGTGTACTGACTGTCTGGTGCTTGTGGGTGTGTACTGACTGTGTAGTGCTTGTGGGTGTGTACTGACTGTGTAGTGCTTGTGGTGTGTGACTGTCTGGTGCTTGGGGGTGTGTACTGACTGTCTGGTGCTTGTGGGTGTGTGTGTGTAGTGCTTGTGGGTGTGCTGACTGTGTAGTGCTTGTGAGTGTGTACTGACTGTCTGGTGCTTGTGGGTGTGTACTGACTGTGTAGTGCTTGTGGGTGTGTACTGACTGTGTGGTGCTTGTGGGTGTGTACTGACTTGTGTAGTGCTTGTGGGTGTACTGACTGTGTGGTGCTTGTGGGTGTGTACTGACTGTCTGGTGCTTGTGGGTGTGTACTGACTGTGTGGTGTGTGGGTGTGTACTGAGTGTAGTGCTGTGGTGTGTACTGACTGTAGTGCTTGTGGGTGTGTGCCTGTGTAGTGCTTGGTGTGTATGGTTGTGTAGTGCTTGTGGGTGTGTACTGACTGTGTAGTGCTTGTGGGTGTGTGACTGACTGTGTAGTGCCTGTGGTGTGTACTGACTGTGTAGTGCTTGTGGGTGTGTACTGACTGTCTGGTGCTTGTGGGTATGTACTGACTGTGTAGTGCTTGTGGGTGTACTGACTGTCTGGTGCTTGTGGGTGTGTACTGACTGTCTGGTGCTTGTGGGTGTGTACTGACTGTCTGGTGGGTGTGTACTGACTGTGGTGCTTGTGTGTGTACTGATTGTGTAGTGCTTGTGGGTGTGTACTGACTACTGTGTGGTGCCTGTGGGTGTGTACTGACTGTCTGGTGCTTGTGGGTCTGTACTGACTGTCTGGTGCTTGTGGGTGTGTACTGACTGTGTAGTGCTTGTCTGACTGTGTGTGCTTGTGGGTGTGTACTGACTGTCTGGTGCTTGTGGGTGTGCTGACTGTGTAGTGCTTGTGGGTGTGTACTGACTGTGGTGCTTGTGGTGTGTACGTGTCTGGTGCTTGTGGGTGGTGTACTGACTGTGTAGTGCTTGTGGGTGTGTACTGACTGTGTAGTGCTTGTGAGTGTGTACTGACTGTGTAGTGCTTATGGGTGTGTACTGACTGTCTGGTGCTTGTGGGTGTGTACTGATTGTGTAGTGCTTGTGAGTGTGTACTGATTGTGTATTGCTTGTGTGTGTGTACTGATTGTGTAGTGCTTGTGAGTGTGTACTGACTGGTGACTGTTGACTCCTATAATGAATTTCAAGTATTATCAATGTGAAAATAAACTGTTAAAGACTGTTTTGAATATGAAGACAGAGTGTTAGCATAAAGAGACTGTTAGCATGAAGAATGACTATTATTATGAAGACAGTGAAGACAGACAGAAAAGAGACTGTTAGTATGGAGACAGACGGTTAGAAGAGACTGTTATTAAGAAGACAAACAGTTAGAAGAAAGACTGTTATCATGAAGAAAAAATTATGAAGAAAAAACACCATGACTAGAGATAACTGACTGGTACTGCGGGATGGGGAAGCCCTGGGCAGCACAGGGCAGCTCAACGGTGTGTCTGATGGAGGCAGTGACGGTGGAGCGAGAGTCGGTGATCCTTGGAGGGACGGAAGACCTTGGTTCGTTCACCATCAACCTGGAAGGAAACGTATTGAGATTTTTTGTTAAAGGACAAGATAATTTTTTTGCTGATACACTGAAAGAAAAATCCGGTTGATAAATTCAAAGAAAATCTGGGTAATTGAAAGAAAAATTCGGTTGATAAATTGAAAGAAAAATCCAGGTAATTGAAAGAAAAATCCAGATGATAAATTTAAAGACAAATTCAGATAATAAATTGAAAGAAGAATCTGGTTAAAAATTGAAAATCTGGTTGATAAATTGAAAGGAAATCCGCCCCAGTTGTGAGTTAGAGCGTGTGGTAAGGGCGTCTTCCAGGCTAAAGCCGAGAGTTAAGGTATTGGGAATGTAATACTTGTCTTGAGCAGTGGTATATACGCCCCTGTGCCACCAACACTCACCACCACACACAAGACCAGTGTCCAGAGCCAAAATAAAACAATGGTAGTAGCAGTAGTAGTAGTAGTAGTAGTAGTAGTAGTAGTAGTAGTAGTAGTAGTAGTAGTAGTAGTAGTAATGGTAGTAGTAGTAATATTAGTAAAATTTGAAACACGTGAGGTCAAGCAAGTGGCGTACGCTGATGACCTAACAGGAGCAGGAAAAGTGGAGGACATCAAAAAGTGGTAGGACCTGATAACATCACGAGGCCCACAAATAGGGTACCACCCAAACGCCAGCATGTCCTTCCTCAATGTGAAGCCAGAACAGTATGAATGGGCAATGGAGGTGTTCAGTGGAAGTGAAGTCAAAATAAGAATGGATGGCCAAAGACACCTAGGCGCAGTAATTGGCACGACGGACTTGAAGACCGAGTACGTAACGGGAAAGGTGAATGAGTGGGTTAGGGAAATCCAAGCTCTGTCTGAGATTGACACAGAGCCACATGCGGCTTTTGCAGCATTCACCCATGGAGTCAAACATCACTGGAACTACCTGATGCACACTGTCCCTGATATTGGTCCCCTCCTCCACCCTCTGGAAGAAGCTAACAGCATCAATTTCATTCCCAAATTAGTGAAACGCCCTCACTTAACCCCAGCAGAAAGATCACTCCTTGTGCTACCACCGAGACTGGGAGGAATGGGATTGACCAATCCAGAGGAGATTGCTGCCACCGAACATCAAAACTCAGTTAATCTCACAGCAGCTGTCACTGACCACATAATAGCTCAGAACGCAACAGGGGAGGTGGATACCAGTGAAGTAAACAAGATTAGAAGGTCCATTACGACAGAACGACAGCACAGCCAAAGTGATAAGTTGCAGCAACTGTTGCTGCAAGTACCAGAGAATTTGAAAAAAAGTAGCTATAGTGCAGGAGGTGGGCGCCTCGAACTGGTTAACTACGTTAACGATAAGGGCAAATGGTTTCAGTCTCAATAAACAAGAATTTACAGATGCCAATGCTCTAAGGTACGGTAGGCCAGTAGAAGGTTTGCCCTCCTAATGCGTCTGTGGCTCTTCCTATGAAGTCGATCATGCCAAAGTGTGCAAGAAAGGGGGCTTCATATGCATGAGGCATGACGAAGCAAGGGATCTCACAGCAAATATGTTGAATGAAATCTGCCGTGGTGTCAGGGTGGAACCGACCCTCCTTCCATTGGGCAGTGAGATTTTCCAGCATAGGACTTCAAACACATCCAACGAAGCCCTTGTTGACGTCAGTGCTCGAGGATTCTGGACGCGGGGACAGCGAGCCTTCTTCACATCAGAATTTGTTATCCCATGGCCGCCTGTCACCGTAACTTAACTCTCGATGCTGCACACAGGAAGAAGGAGAACGACAAGATAAGGGCATACGGGGAGAGAATTCAGAACGTTGATCAAGGCAGCTTCACTCCTCTAGTGTTCACAACCTCTGGTGGGATGGGACCAAGTGCAAGATGTTTCTACGCCAGACTCGAGGAGGTGATCTCCGAACAGAAGCAGCAGCCCAGAAGTTATGTTACAGCCTGGATGAGATGTCGACTGTCCTTCTCTCTCCTTAGGTCGGCTTTGCTCTGCCGCAGGGGAACGAGAGCATCGGCCCCAAAGCCGACAACAGTCGCAGATGTTGACTATGAGGCAACAGTCACTGAATGCTGTATAAATCTGCGGCTCAACTAACTCAACACAGATAGGATAGCTACTTATGTATTAGGATATTTAATATTAAGGTAATAAAATGGTGGCGAAGGAATGGCTATTGGGGGAGGCTGGAGGTCTTAAAAAAAGTAGTAAAGGTAATAGGAGAAGTAGTAGTAGTAGTAGTAGTAAAAGTAGTAAAAGTAGGTATAACAGTAGTAGGAGTATAGTAGGAGTATTAGTAGTGGTAGCGACCTGTTAACCTGGGTGACCTCTTAACCTGGGTGACCTGTGGATGACGTAGGCTGATAGAGTACTGACCTTCCAGCGACGGCGGAGATGGTCGTCTCATCAGTCAGGACGTGTTGAGTCTCACAGTGATAGGACTGGAACTCATCCGCCTTGGTGACGTGACGGATGTGAAGCTCACCCGTCCCGAACACTGAGTACCGTCCCCCTGTAACACGGTGACGTCATCATTGTTATTATTATTATTATTATTATTATTATTATTATTATTACTAACACCCAGTACTCACCTGAACGAAAAATAGACTATATTCGTATTATTGTGGAGGCGTCCCGAGCAACGAGGGCCTAACTTCCCACACAATGCTGACAACATATTTATTGTTATTATTATCACCCCGTCCCGTCCTGGAGATGTTGGCACTTACCAATCGGAATCCTCTTCACATTGCCACCGACCATTCAGGATTCTCCCTCATTGCCATTGACCAATCAGGATCCTCCCACACTGGCATCGACCAATCAATATCCTCTCCACATTACCCTCAACCAATCAGCATCCTCCCTCAGTGCCTTCTACCAATCAGCACCTAGTTCACACTCCTTAAGTATTCAAGAGATGTCCTTTTCAGCGCCTGTAGGGTGAGGCGAGCGAATACTAGTGAGGCGAGCGACCATGTCCTTGCAGGGTGAGGCGACCAACCATGTCCTAATATTCTCACGAGACACTACCACCAGCCCCCCAGTACACCCTCAATAAATACTTCCTTTAGCTACGAGGGATTTTGAAGCAGTGTCCATGCTGTCATAGTCTGCCAGCCTCACTAAACTACTGCGGCGTCTCCTGTCACTGCTAACGATCGTGGACTGTCGCTGAGTAAACCATAATTTCACAGCACAAAATAATTTTCTCTTGAGTTATTCTTGTGTTAAAGGAAATCAGAAATGGCTGGGAAGTGTGTGATGCGCGCTCTCTCTCTCTCTCTCTCTCTCTCTCTCTCTCTCTCTCTCTCTCTCTCTCTCTCACACACACACACACCTCGTCAAAGCTATACATACAGAGTGAGAAGCCTTGGGAATCTTAAGAGCGTCCAACTGGCAGAATCCAGGAGCGTTCATGATGGCAATGTGAGTCAGGACAAATCATGCCGGGGAAGAAAGAATTCCTACCATTGGGTGACAAGTGTGGCAGAGAAAGCGAAAGAAAATACTGTAGGTGTAGTGTGAGGGAGGGAAGGAAGGAGAGCCTCGCCACCTCCTGCAGCTAAGGGATAAACATGAAAGTTCTCTCAACCTTGTACGCGTTTTGTTTACTTGGCTGCTTCTCACGCTGCCTCCCAGGAAAGTTAGAACCCCATACGGGCAGAGGTGAGGGTGAGGAGGAGGGTGAGGGAGGAGGGAGCTGACGTGAGGGAGTAGGGGAGGAGGCTGACGTGAGGAGGGTGAGGGAGGCTGACGTGGGGGTGAGGGAGGCTGACGTGAGGAGGAATGTAGGGGAGGAGGGCTGATGAGGGGTGTGAGGGGAGAGGGAGGGCTGACGTGTGAGAGAATGGGGGGAGGAGGGCTGACGTGGGGGGTGGGGGAGGAGGGCTGACGTGGGAGGGGGTGTGAGCAGGAGGGAGGGGCTGACGTGAGAGGGGGTGTGAGGGAGAGGGACTGGCTGACGTGAGGAGAATTGAGGGAGAGGAGGGCCCAGCGTGAGAGGGGTGGGGAGAGGACGGCTGACGTGAGAGGGAGATGAGGAGAGGACAGCTGACGTGAGAGGGGTAGGAAGGAGGGCTGACGTGAGAGGGGTGAGGGAGTGGAGGGCTGACGTGAGAGGGGTAAGGGGGAGGAGGGCTGACGTGAGAGGGGTGAGGGGGAGAAGTTATTTTGTGGATGGTGTTTGAGAATTAATTTTAAGGTTTTGGTTGAGAGTGTTACGCCGTCTCTTAATTTACTTTAATATCCAGGTTCTTGGCGTAACCAAACAAAAAAAAGTGAAGTAAATTAAAAGGGAATAAAAATAAATATAGTAAACCTTTAAGAATTTAATTAATTAAATATTAACACAATAAAGAGCCTCGCAGGCTGTCACAACAAATTGATTCACCATCGAATCTTTTAAGACACAAATGATACTAAACATCGAAACATCAAAAGAATAAAAATATACTAATTTGAAACAACACTGAATGACTTAAATGAAACTAAGCAAATACTGATGGACATAAATAGAGACATAAATAGGTACTCACATAGATATACCACATTGGTGGCGACAGGAACAACACAAATAAATTAAGTATAAGTAACAGGTGACGGGTGTCACTCAAAGGATGTGGACTGTATGACAAGAGGACTGAACTGCCTTCCGTCAGTTGGTGGACTACTATATATATATGGCCTTTTCCCGCCTGTGCGGCCAGCCGGTGGGTCGTTTAACGATGCAGATGGTCGTTAGAGAACAAAGAATGCTTGTTACAATACTAAATGAATAAATAAGATGGGCTTGAACAAACAATCACAGTTAAAACCTTAACAGCACAGGGTAAGGTGACTAGAATATATAATAGTAAATATAACACATCATTACAGGAATAATATGGAACAACATGGAAGGATGTTATATAAAAAATAATAGAAAAATACGACAAGGTCACAACAAGAGGAAGAGAAGTGCCAACAGCTGCTGACTTGGGGCGTCTCTCAGGCCAACAGTGTGTGTGTGTGTGTGTGTGTGTGTGTGTGTGTGTGTGTGTGTGTGTGTGTGTGTGTGTGTGTGTGTGTGTGTGTAAAATACCTTGTCATGGGCCCATGAACTCAGTGATCACAAGAACTGACCCATCAACCATAGGTGAGTGTATCAACTGCCTCAGAGGAACACCTAACCTGACCTAACCATCCCATTCCTCACCTCCCTTCTCCTCATCCTCCAATTCCTGACCCTCCTCCTCATCCACCTCCTCATCCACATCAACACCCACCTGTCAACACATCAGAGACGATCCGCTCGCCGTTGCCTCTGACCCAGGAAGTGACGCTGACGTAGTCCCTGACGAAGGAGGGCACGTGACACTTGATGACCGCTGTGTTGCCGCTGATCACGAATTCATCATAAACTTGAACCTCGTAATACTGACGTACCACTGTGGGAGAGAGAGAGACAAGGGGTGAGATAGTGGGAGACAGAGAGAGACAAGGGGTGAGATAGTGGGAGACAGAGAGAGACAAGGGGTGAGATAGTGGGAGACAGAGAGAGACAAGGGGTGAGATAGTGGGAGAGAGAGAGACAAGGGGTGAGATAGTGGGAGACAGAGAGAGACAACACGATAAAAATAATTAATAATAAGTGAGACTGGAGTGGGAGATGGTATTCAGATTAATAATAATAATAATAATAATAATAATAATAATAATAATAATAATAATAATAATAATAATAATAATAATAATAATAATAATAATAATGTAAATAATAATAATAATAATAATAATAATAATAATAATAATAATTCACACAGGTACACAGTTCAACATGATTAATAGACAGTACAGGTATACGGTACAGGTAGGCTGAGACAGTACAGGTAAACTTGATCAATGATAGCTGACAGGTGTTTAATGTTCAAGAGGCTCATTTGCTTAGGCCTACACTTGGTCTCTCAGTAATAAGATGTATACAGGTAAAACGACAACAACAACAACAACCATTACCACCTAGGCCACACTTTATATGACACACACACACACACACACTGACCTTTCAT